AGTCTAAATAATTACCACTTATAATTGAAAATTTTATTTTCACTAATCCAAGTTACCATTGATATATCAATGATGATAAAATAAACAGATATAACTGTGAATTCGTAAAAAAGTTCATTTAGAATACAATAAATAAAGTAATTGAAACTATGGGTTATAATTGTTCAGTCTTCATTTTATTGTAATATATTTATTTGAATGCTTCATTCTAGACTTGACAGGACATTTAAAATATAGTGAAATCTTGTGAACTACTATGAATAATAATGACTGAAATACTAATAATTTTTAATATTCATTAACTAGACAATAGTCTGGTAAAATATTTCTGTTACAAAAGACTTTGTATTGTTATAGAAAAATAGTAAAATTCATAACGCTCAAAATATTTGACCTTAACCATGTAATCATTACACAAGATTATAAGTTAAACCAAACAACCAGAATAATTGTATGTTACATAAAGATGATTGTTAAATGTGGTTTTTGCAACGTTACAATATGTTTACTTTACTTGGATTAAAGTTAATGTTCTGAGAGTGATTTGAAAAACTTATTTCGGTGGAAGACGAAATGTATAGTAGTTAATGATTTCGGAAAGTAATTTGTAATGTCAGTGTTTAGAACTTTATCTTGTTTGTGGTCAGAGACAAATTCTGCACCAAGATTAGATCAGAACTGACGTCATAGTGAATAAGAATCAGAAGTTTTACTATTGAGCTCTTCAAGTGAAAGTTATTCATTACATAGAAATGGATAAATTACTTTATTCAATAAGTTAATTGGTATCCTCTCTGGATAGTTTATTGATAATCATTAACTTCAGCACTGAATGTTGAGGACTTGATGAGTTTCTTTCAGACTGAAAATCAGTTAGTCGTAAGCATCGTAGCGCCTGAAGAAATATTCGTAGTAGCAATGTCAGCTAAAAAGACTAAACATTAAGAATATTGTTCAAGAAGGAGGAGTGAAAAAATTTGTATGAAAAAACACTGGGAGATAAATAGTAAGTGTCTCTGTATCAGCGTGACCGACCCTGAGTTATATTACCTGACGTCGCCAACTACAGCTTGACCGTAGCTGGTATCATGGTATGGTGTTTGTGATGTCCCAGTTGACCCACAATTGCTGGATTACTAGTTTCTTTATTCGTACTACTCCAAATAGGCTGGTTAAAGGTTGGCAAACCTGAAAGCAGTAAACCTAAGGCTCGGGAGCAGAGTTGTATTGCAGATTGTACAGGAGTGTGGAGGTAGTAAAGTGCATCCCTCATACTATAAACATCTGAAGCGATGCTGTCTTCTCCCTATAGAAGGCGAGGGTTGTAAATGATCATCGCTAAGCATGAAACACCTCACCTTGCCCCACAGTCTCCGTTGCAGGTAGTAAGGCTCATAAGAGAAGAGGTTACCAAACTAAAAACTACTCACAATGCGGCCGTATTTTGTTGATTTCAGTTGTCTGCTCCTTAAGATACTGAATCACACTTCCAGGTAATCAAGACCTAATCGAGATTCTGTAACATATTCCTCAATTAAAGTAACTTCTCATGGTGTCAGCAACCAGGGAAAGGAACTTACATATTTGTAACAGCGCTCCGGATCACTTTGTTCCCAATTAGACTCAATATGCCTTCTTGATGGATTGCAACAAGTACAATACCTAAGATATATGGTTTCGTTCTAATTGTTTATAACCATGAAACAGTTAAGTGTTGTAAAATTATTCAAAACGTATTATGTTGACATGCTATGAAGTTCTGATAAGTGTCATCTGTTGATTACCTATTATACAAAAGAATATTGAGACAACTCTTGTGGTAAGCGATTAGAACTATAGTTCCAGAATATAAGAAATAACAGTTTGATCAGATAACAAAGTAAAAAGACCATGAGCTTTCCACCATGGCATTTGTGTTGCATCTAGATGATACCGTGGATATATGAAGTGAAACCGCGTGAAGCTCCATGTATTTTTGTAGAATCTTAACAAACTTTAGATACCTACCAGTTTGTACCAAAAGATTGGGAGTACAGCAATTTTTGTAGGTACCTTACGCATAAAACCTCAACACTTGCTCAAGAACAGCAAAACTTAGTGTTCACGACGTGGTAACAATTTGAGAGCAGCGAGTGTAATAGAACGTCGGTATACAACCATAAAAGACGTCTTGGGTGATGGACAGGGAATTCTGAAGAATAGTTAAACTGGTCCATGTCCCCAACAATATCAAGTGACTATACTATGATCCTTGGTCGGTCACTAACAATTCGCCTAAAGAAACGAACACCCAGGTCCACTCACAAGGAAGATGCAGTTTTCTGTTCAAGTCACATAACTGAGTCTACTGATGACAACCCGATTGTTTACCATCATGAAACACTAACTCCCTTAGGTTGAATATATTTTACAAATATTGTTGGAGGGGCTTGCACGTTGTTCACTACTGTGTTGACACTAAGACTATGTGGAAAAAACCAGGTCAGTTTGTGACATGGAACAATGAAGTTGTATTGATTTGGAACCTGTTGGTCATCATGGCTATTTGGCTGAAATCTTACAACTGGTTGCCTTGATATACTGGCAAAAATAACTCAGAATAAAAGTCAGTGGAGATTATTTCGTAGCTTTCTATTATATTTACCTCAGACAAAAAATAACATGGCGCAAACATGTTCGAGCTTATTTTGATTTAAATAAAAGTATCTTGCTTTGTTTCTTATGTACCAATTGAAACTGTTAATTCAGTTCAATTATTTAGTCTGATGAAGTGACGTACACTAAGCTGTGAAACCTCAGAAGCTCAATTTTCTACTCATTAAGATATTGGAAAATTGACACTTTTTATTATCAACAATTCACCCAAATGCTTAATTTATTTAAAATCATCAGATTGAACCTAGGTTATGATACTTAAATTCTGTTCTTGTTTGTTGTCTACTGAATGTATGCCTTTCCCCTTTTTTTCTTCAGTATTATTTGGTTGTATGATAAGTCTTGTGCGCTATTGCATTAAGCTTTTTACGTATCATAAATAATGTAGTGGCTGTGCTTCGTTGACCAAATCACCCTCGTAACCGTTATCGTGTAAACCCCAACGGTAGTTGAAATCAGAAGGCAAAGAGAAGCAGCTACTACAGTTTTATTAGCAGGCAACTCAAACCACAGAGCAGAGAGGCGAATGAGTCAGCGAACCGTGATTGTGTGAGAATGTGTGGAAAACTTGTAGTGTTAAATATACATATATATATATATATATATATATATATATATATATATATATATATATATATATATATATATATATATATATATATATATATATATATATATATATATATAGAAAAATGAATGGACTATCGAATCGATTAAGCGAATAATAATAAGGTTAGTGGGATGAATATATGCGTGGGCAGTCAAAAATGTTCAAGCATGCTTATTCATACAAGCATAACAATAATAAAGGTAGAATGAGTTGTTAAAGTACAGATAACCTTGTCCGTTTAATAGGTTAACAAAAGGGCTTAAACGAATTAGATGGGGGCAAACTCAATTGAACGTGAGTTGCTATAATAAATTAGCATGAGTTAACAAAACTTCGAAAATTCGGTATATTAATTGCACGATTGTGAGACTTAGTTGAATACAGTGGTTTAATAAGTGTTATAAATCCGTAAAAAAACATGTTTAGTATTTAAGACTAAGGAAACAAAGATGTGGCATCAGTCTAAAAAGTTTTGACTATTAGCATGACAGAGCAAACTTCTTGGAAAGTATCCACAAGGTAACCACAACAGATGAACGTATTATATTCCATACATCAATATCTGATAAATTTTATTGCTTGATTCCATCAGTTTTTTTCTTCTACTTATCTACTTCTGTTTACTATTCTTACTCTGCTTCTCGTTTGTTGAATTTCTTCTGTTTTCATGTGAAAAGTGAGGAAACAAATCAGTTTACGTTTATGTTGCGTAGTGCATGGTAGTAATCATTTATCAATTCAACGAAGTTTAGGGTTTACTGTCTAACTTAATCCAAATGTTCTTAGTTGTGAAACTTATCTTACTAATGAGGCAAGCTATCTAATAGATGATAAGAAATCAAATAGAGGATATTGCTATAGTCAAGTAAATATTTGTATAAGAATAATCAGTGAAGTATTTCAAACTCATTCTTCATGCCACAAGATCAGAAACAATCCATAACCACAAATATAGAATGAGTTGACTAGCCTGCAAAGAAATGTGTTTAAGATATCAACGGACCAATACACACAAATGGATAAACATTGTATGAAGTTTAGAGAATTGGTCAAACCAGGTTACCTAACAAATAGGCTTCTATCAGTACCTAGAGCTTAACAGTGTCGATAGAGTGTGGCTTCGATAGTGCGAGATTAATAAACACATGGGGACAGGTTCGGGCTACTTATTTATTATTTTACTTAAACACGAACATTGGTACGAAGAGAAACGTGCCACACAAATTATTGGATTCGTGTGTGCGCTGGGATGCTGCCCGGGTGCCCCAACAGAAACAGGTGGTTTTCTTATAGAGCCTTTGACGCAAAAGTTTGATCCACAAGGCAGTGGAGCAACGTTAGGAGGTGCAGTTCCATGGTGGTCTGTGACCAAAAATAGGCCCAAATGCCATTTGTTCTCTTAGGATCCTCAAGCACATGTGCACCAATGGTTTCGAATCAGGGTACTCCAAATCCCCCAAGTGGATCCTCGGTATCAACCAACTCGGTTAAACCTCGGGACATTTGCCTTTTATCCTAATAGTTTCGTAAACAACACGCCGGCTGAGAGAAAACAATGAGTAGAACTTCACTGGCAGTGGCTATATACGCTTGGCCATATGGGAGCATTTTGAGAACGCACTTTCCCCACCCTCGGTCGTATCAGGACATTCAGGGGGGTGAACTAACGAACTTAAGGTTAAAGATTCGGTCTAGATGCTTTCATCTGCTTTACTAGGTTGCAGAAGAAAACAGTTTACAAGTGATCTTATATTATACAATCATCAGTACAAACAGATTTTAGTTCCTCAATAAGTTTTCGAGGTGTACAAACAGGTGAAACTGCTGAACTAAGTCTAACCGGAGACGGCATTATTATTTCACGAAATTCGCTTTCTGATTCTGAAGATGAATCTTCATTCTCAGTTGATGAGCCTGAAAAATTGACTGGAAGTTTCAATTGTTCATCGTTTGCATCGGAAGGTATTAGCAAATCCTATAAGCAAAAATAAAAACTACAATATTTCGTATCCTTATAAAAAGAGCATACCGAAATATAATTCATAAGAAACGTACTAACATAATGTCTGAGGAAAACTAACTTAACTTGACAAATGAAGTGCTAGGGACCAATAAAAGTCACCTAAGTGTTATCAATTGGTAATTGTGTCAGTTCAAAACAAAGGAACTCACCATCGTTGAATTATTCTGCCTAAATGTTTATTTTAATCAGATTTACATATCGGTGTGTGTGTAATTAGATGAGACGACATTTCGCCAAAGCTCTGGAGTTCTCGTAAAGACTCTCCACTAAGTTAATATATTGTTTGGTACGTCTTTAAGTGACGTACTACCGTACAACTTGTTGACTGACAAATTCGCGAGGAAAGTCCATGTCTTAAGGGACATAAAAACTTAAAAGTAATAATAAATCACGACTTGAAAACAACTACACAATGCAACGCAGCTGTGGCGTTGTGGTCACTTCGCCGAGCATTTAAATGCTTTGGCGAGATGTTTGGAATTTTATATCCCACTTATGTAAGACCACACATAGAATATTCTATCCAAGTAGCTGGCCCATAATTGATTAAGGATACTAACTTACGAGCGTATTCAGCGTGTGAGAATAAAAATAGTGAAGGGTCTTTCTAAACTCCCTTACTATGAGCGCTTGTGACACCCAAACCTTTCCCCTTTGTCGTATTGTAAGACGCGAGATGACCTTATATTGGCATTTCGTATCTTTAATTACGATTCGGGTGTTAATATGTCTTATATTTTTGCTCTCTCCAGCACTAATAATCCCAGAGGTCATAGCAAGGTTCATGAACCGCGATCTAATAAACTTAAAGTGAGGTTTCGTTTTTTCCATCAAGTTATCAATAACTGGAACACCTTACCCGAACAAGTGGTATCAGCCCCATCAGTGAACATCTTCAATGAGAAGCTGGACCTTCATTGGAAGACAAACTGTCAACGTTAACACAGGTCCACCAATTTACTATCGTTATTACCAAAGACTAAACGTGACTTCAGTTGTACTGCTTCAAGCTTCAGTCATAGATTTCAATAGAGTTGACAACAAACGGGGAGCCAGAACTCGATCCCAGTAAGTGGTGTTGGATCTACTTCCAAATCACTAGCTGACACATCTAAAACAATCTCCGAGTAAAGACATTGTATGGAGAATCAGAAGGCTTTTGGAGAGAAATGAAAATTACCACTTAAACCCAAGCATTATTTTTTCATCCCTTTGAACAAATTCCAGACTATATATATTCTACATGAATAGCCACTCGAGTTTATAATAATACTTCAATTCATTTCCATTTTAATGCATTTAAAAACCCGGAGTTCTCTAATCGTGGCCATATTAGCTTAACAACGATTACCCGAGTGAATCATGTGTGATTATAACCCTTACGCTCCCAAATCATCCGAACAAATAATAGCTCTTAAGTAGTTTTGGCATAGATAAGGTGTTAACGTACGGAGATCGTCCTTAAACTAAATGATTTATGGACGACCTTAAAGCGACACTAAAGTTGCCTTGAGAATGTCCACCTACTGATTAGAGCTAAATGAGGGTTTTAAACCTGTGTGAAGGATAATGATGGTGATTTACAGTTGATGGTTAGGGATAGAGACTAGATTTAGGGTTTTCATCACGAACTGACATAAGCTAAAATGTCAGGATGTTATTTGGCCAAATGAATGGAGAATTTCGCGCGGAAATCCAAGGTCTGTTATTGTAAACCTAATTGGTTTGTTCACAAATTATGGTTTCGCCAAGTAAATGTCTACCAAGTTCGATGCAAGATAAGTTTGGAGAAAACTATTGAAAAGTAGTTCCAGAAAATATCTAGTCTGAAACGGCGCCAAGAAGTGAATAAATGGCTTAACATAATGGATTGTAAAACATAGAAGCTACATTTTGACTAGACTTATTGAATCAAACAGGCGTATCTACGATTACCTAAGTTTAGGGAATGAAGTGACAAATAAGGTAGCTGTAACTTGTACTATTCAATAGATCGTAAAATTTTCTCAATCAAAGTAAGATGTGTTAAATAATTAACAATTTACTAACTAATTCAATGTATCGACCATCATCAGCTTCACCTTCTATTGAATCAACTTTTACTTTCTCGGCTTCTTCAATTAAACTAGTTACCCTTGATAAAACTATATAATAAGAAAACGAGGGCACCTTACTTTCTTTTGTTCGAGAACGATCTAGAGGCTGTCGATTGATTTTCAGGTCCGACAACTTCATAACTGTAACACACACCTTTAATTTAAGCGGACTGTTATCTTATATTAAATCCTTATGTCACGAGCAGGCAATAGTTTCACTCTCATTTTGGAAACGATGAGATAATAATAAGCTTGTGTTTATCCTGACAATGGCGGTCTCAGTTGACTCAACCTTCTTTTAAAAACGTCGATAGATGGAGCGTCAATAGAGTGTTAAAGTAGTCAATCCCACTTGTTTACGATTCTATGGGAAAGTCGATGGTCAGCTGATGAGTTATATGTTCTGAGCTTTTGAACATTTTTGTAGTGTCCTCACAAATTTTCTATCTTGGAAGACGAGAAAAATGGAGCCATAACAGCTGTAAATTTGATAGGTGACTAATATTATGAGCTATCGTTCTCATATTTAGGAACATCGTCCAGTCCTTAGTGCCATCCAACGAGGGAATTCTAGATACTCTCCTGCAATACTTATATTGAATAAAGTGGGCATTCTCGGTCTTCGGTTGAACGAATAGGAGATTAATCAGCCTGTATTCATTCTTTGATTTTATATTGTTGTGAAAATCACGCCTCGCTTCAAGTATAGTAATAGAAACTGCTGACATTACGTGTCCTGGTAGAAGATCCCTGTAATTTATTGCTTATTGTAAGAAAATCTAGGCTTAAACCGTTCAATCTTGGTTTTGAACTTTCCTAGAATTTCCTCTTTGATGATCAGGGTTAGATGAAGGTAAAAGTGAAACATATTAGCAACGATACCCACGTCAAGTAAAGGGTAGTCAGTTATAAGTCACCTCGTAACCTGCGGTAAGATAACAGAAATAGTTTGGTACATCTGAGATTGTCTCTGTAAGATAATTCGGCTAGATATTTCATCATTTCCATCCTTCTTCGTTGAACTCATTCTAACATATACACTACAAACTTGAAAAAGGGCTCACGGCTTGGATACTATATTCTTAATACAGCCCCACAAACTTCGAATGCAGTACATTCAACATTTCTTCATTCAGGTAATGAAATGACCTACAAATAGCCCATAAGACACTGAAATTTTCGTCAGTATTAGCCTTGTAGTTACTCGTAGCTCTAAGGTCGTTGCTTATTATAACTACTAAATAATTATAGCCTGTTACTTTGAGTAAGGGCATTTCAAGTGTTGCCTGATGATATGAACCATTGCAGTTATTCATATGGAAAGAATGAACTTCTAATGACCACCTATGTATCCATAAACCGGTGGATTTAGGTCTTCCTGTAGTATAATCTTATCTGACAAACCGTGTATATGTCCCTGAATCTTTATGTCATTTGAAAAGAGTTCACTACAGTTGATAAATTATTCAAATAAAATAAATAAAAAATAGAACAAAGAACTGTACCTTGGTGAGCTTGTAAAATTATGTTCTGCTTCGTTATCGGTACTATTATAATAATAGACCTAATCCTCAAATTGTAGATTTGTCATGATGTGACTGCCCACTTTATAAGACTTTACGTGGAAGTCACATTATTGTTTACACTGACTCATTGCGTCATAACAATTAACATATTTCAAATGAATAAAGATAAGTTAAAAGGAACGACCACGTCTGTGAGGCTGAGCCATGCCATCCGAATGAATAGTTGAGTGTTTACGTTTTCATCATTGTTGACCTTCTCTTCGTGCTAATTGTTAAATATAAATCTTTTCAGTAATTATGTACTCGGCTTCAAAGGTCGTATGGGTAAGATCCAATGCCTTTTCAAACTATACTTCTTCCAGAGTGTAATAATTATAAAGCCTTATTTACCTGTACCGATTGTCTCCTATCACTGAGAAAATGATTTATCCAGTTTCCAATTTCTTAATGGATGGAAACATTCCAGTTTTAATTTAATACCCGATCGAGAAGCTTTATTAAAGGATTTTCTTAGATCTATGAAAATTAAATCTGCTGGAATATTTCTTTCTTTCGCTGCAGCTCGATCTTAACTTGTAATCAGAGGGATTGTCGAGCTATGTTGCTCCCTGGCTAAACGATTATTCCCCTCCACATAGTGTAGAATAGCCATGGTTATATATGAACGGATGAATAAATCCTCAACATAAATAGCTCATGACAATGTGGACATTATTCTCACTACATTTGGTTTAATGACAAAACCAATGGGCAAATGTGCTCGCTTGACCAGCAACACCAGATCACATTTTAAAATCGTATACTGATATACAGTTAGCTTGGCATCCATGCGCTATGGTACGTTCGTTCATATACCGAATACATCTTAGCATCCATTCATCCCCGAACTATCATTTGGTTGTTTTGGGAACGTTTCGACAGAACAAACTCGAACGTCAGTATTGTTAAATCCTGGAGTTACGATTACTCTCCATATGATTGAGGGTACTAATGTGTGATTTTTCTGGCCACTCTAACAACAATCCAGTTGGTACTAAATATTATTTCTTTGGTTATACGTCGTAACTTCGCCGTAGCTCCACAATATGTTTCTGCTCATTCTACTATGATAATCGATGTGAGACTGGTATTGAATCTTCTTGCAAACACGTGTAATACATATTTTCAACAGTCACTGAGTCGATCTGATTTCTTAACTACCAAATCTTCACTTCAAAACCCTTAAACATGTTAAACTAAAGATTATGCCAACATCGTAGTAGCATTTACTATGTTCTGAACACACTTGTACACAAGTTTGATACATTACATGATAAAAACCAGTGTCGGATCAACACATCACTGTCACTCCGACTTTGATTTTCACTGTTTTTATGAAGATTTGCGATCCAAAGAATACTTCAGGTCAACAGCCTAAGAAATAAAAAACAAAATAACTATCTTCACTAGTTTTAGACCAATGCTAAGCAAGGAGAAATCGTGGGGTGGCCTGAATTCACCCTGTGATATTATAATTTAGAGCATTAATAGTAAGGAAGTAGACCATAAAACTAAAATTGTATATTTTTTATATACCAATGAGCGGAAAAACTGTATTTCTGACGTTTCGTGACTTAATGTAAGCCACTTATTCAGAGCATATTGTTTATCGAATCCAAAAATACAATTTTTCTACTGATTGTGATATGACGAAAACCATATTTATTATTAAATTTCTACCCAATACTCAATTTATTTGAATCTATCAAGTACAACCTTGACATACTACAGATCATGGTTGAACAATCAATTGAATGGAACTCATCACTATACAGCAACATCCTTGACTACGAGAATGCATTTGACAGTGTGGATAGGAGAGCATTGCAAAACCATCTTCGACAGATTATACTGAAAAGTCGTGGATGGAGGACAGCCGACAGATGCATTCCAAGAGAGGACCGAAGTCAGACAAGGCTGCTTACTCTCACTCTTTCTCTTTCTTCTGTTGGTTGGCTGTATTGTGAAGACCTTCACATGTGAAGGAGAGCACGCAATATAATGGACAGTTTGGCTGCAACTAGATGATTTGAAATTCGCAGATTGCCTAGCTCTTCCATCCTATACACATCAACAAATTCAGATGAAGGCAACTAGTGTAGCAGCTGTCTCTGTAGCGGTAGGTCCCAACATACAAATCGCATGAACACATATCCTCAAACACAACACGGAGAACACCAACCAAACCAATGACACTTGATGGAGAAGCTCTGAGAAATGTGGAAACGTTCACGTACCTGATCAGCATCATCGATGAACAAGTCGGATTCGATGCAGATATGAATGTATAGGTTGGTGGAGAACGTGTGGCGTTGGTACAATTGAAGAACATATGGAACTCAAAACGACTGTCAACCAATATCAAAGTCAGGATCTTCAACACGAACGTCAAGACAGTTGTGGTGTATGGAGCTGAACGTGGAGAACTACTACAACCATCATCAAATAGGTCGAAGCATTTATAAACAGTTGTCTACACAAGATACTCAATGTCCGTTTACTGGATACCGGTCTAAACAACGTACTGTGAGGAGAACAAACCAGCTTCGAGCTGAAGAGGAAATTGGGGAAAGACTCTGAGAGTGGATGGGGTATATATTACATAAATTATCAAGTAGCATCATGTGGCAAGCCCTAACATGGCGTTGTGAAGGGAAAGGGAAAGAGAGTGACCAACGATCACGTTGTATATGTATTTTTTAAGTATCATGATAATTATAAAACAGTTTTTCTTTTTAATGAATATGGTTATTATGGAACGAACGGGGATTCAGTGGTGGAGAAATCACTTTGGTTATGGCCTTAAATACTGTTTCTTATTGTTCTGCTGTAGCTTGAACTACTTCGTGTCCTGTTGGTTTACAAATTGCCGAAACCCTTAATTATATAGGATGGATTTACGATCTACTTATTTTTACTTGCTAATGACAGTCCAGATCCAGTGACTCTGAATCTAATAATATATGCAAATTTTTGTCATTCAAAATAAATAACCTGATGATAGGAATTAGTGCATCTCTAGAACGTCACCCTCTTTGATGCATAGATCACAGGGAAGTGATGCGACATTATCTGTATATTTCAGCTTTGCTGAGCTAGTGTTGTAGTATGTCGGTAGTGCGTAACCAGTTGATGTGTTTAAAAGATCTGCCAAATTGTGATGGGCGGAATATTACGGTTAAACGGAAGATAAAACAATATATTTAATATGAGTATAAGAGATAAGCTACACATGAATAACTACGCCTGAAAGCCTGAACCATGCCATCCAACTGAATTGAATTAATATTCCCGCGTTTTCCATAGTTAACCTTCTGTTCGCCTCAATTGTTGTATATAAGTCTTTTTATTATCTATATGCTCGGCTTCAAAGATCGTGTGGTTAGAGTTCACAGTCACTGCATATCCACAGCTACACTTTTATATATAACAGGTGTGCTATAATATATTCAATGGATAGGCGCTTAAACCGTTTGCAAGTTTTCTGACTTATTCTACAATACGATGGAAGATAATTTTGTATTATATTGCTTTGTTGCTTCTTCTTACTCCAGAAATTTGTTCCTCACGTAATAATAATACATTTCTGACAGAACGGGTTCACGCTATTTTTACAGGTAAGATCAATAATTTATCTCATTAATTTGCAGACAAGACACTTTTTAAGTAGGGCGGTTAATCAGATAAAATAAATGAAGTTAAATGAGGGTAAATTCGTGGGCAATATATTAGATGGTTGATAATTAGATATACGTGAGAATACTGTACTATGAGTTCATGATTTTCATGAACTGCTCAGAAATGGAACCCGTCCCAGATCGTAACCTTCGGAATCGTTTATCAAGTTTTGCGTGTAGGAGCTGTGGTGCTTCTAGGAAATAATGTAACGCAACTGTTGAAGAAATTAATACTTATTATAAATTACCCATTGAAATGCGTTTGGTATAAGCTGTGACGGGCGCCCATTGCTTCCTGATTCACAATGATTGTCTGACTTTGACAGGTTAGCAATTTCAGCGAATATTACTACGCAAAACTTAAGCGGCAGTATGCGAATAGGAAATAGATCTACGTATGGCGAATGACAGAAAAATAATGGAGGTCATGTAATGAATATTAAGGTGGAAGTTTGTTTGTAAGTAATCGCTGCAAATGGAATTCACTCAGTTGCTAATACTCTCCTGAAAATTAGTTGTTGACGTTCCGGATTTAGGATTTAATCCAACATTAATTTGGGAGTAGCCCATATCAATAATTTCACGTAGTATAAAGTGGTGTAGAAGAAAGTAACAGCATAATTTAATTTTCTAACACCAGGCACTGTTCAATAAGGCAGAGAAAGGAACGACGTAGATAGTACTTATCTTAACACCAAAAGTAACGTTAATATCAATTGATTAATGGTGAAGCGTATTCTCCATAGATAAAGATACATCGTATATGTGAGATATATGTCAACATACGTAACATGTCATGGAAAAAGGAAAGATACGATCGTCGAGACTCTAATTTATGGACGACCTTTGAACGAATCTTAAGTGACCTTGAGAAATATTAGCCAATCATCAAACAGAAAGTATCGAGTAAAAATATATTATACAAAACCAAAGAATTAGCGTGGATAAACTTCTTATACGTGGTTCAAAAGCTTGTCAAGGTTAGAAAGAGGTTCAGAGGTTCTAAAATCGTAATGCATGCAGTAGAGGAAATCATTCATACGACTACGGAATAGTCGGCCCCTGGATCCATGATAATGTCTCAGAAACTCTTTGAGCCTCGACCACATAGCTTCAATACTGTTTATGAGCACTCCGGTTGTTGAGTACACAAAATACCACTTGTGGATAACGACACGATGCACATAAACAAGCCTATGTAGCAGACTGTACGCTCTCTAAACATCCATATATATTGTCGTACCTGGCTGAAGCCAGTGTTACTGGTGTTTTATTATCTATTTCGCAATAAATGCCATAATTTTTTAGTTAGGAATTATATATGGGGGTTGCCATCACGAACTGACATCAGCTTCAATGCCAGAAATCTATCTAGCCAAATGGATGAAAGGCTTTCGCGTTGAAATCCGAGATATGTTATCTTATACCTGATTGATTCGTTCACAAAATATAATCTCGCCGCTTCATTTTTTTATAGCCGTTCAATTATGACGTTTTGTACAAAATTCCCTGTGAACCGACCGTACGTTAGCATTGAGCACTAAAGTTGGCGCCGTAACCTTGAAGTCTCTAAAACGCTTCTGACTGGCTTGTCCATAAATTAGAGTCTTGCCATACGACTTCGTATAGTTATCATAAAAATTATTAAACTTATGTGCCCCTGAAGAGTGAGTCGTTGATTCATTAGTTGTCGAAATAGAAGAGAGTTTCATGACCTTGTATCTGTTTTACAAATGGTCCGAAGCCTATGGCGTTTGTAAAGCCTTCATCAAAGTTACAGTTGGTGTCGTATACTGAGGCCAAAATACAGAGATTGAATGTAAATATATGAACACCAGATTGGTTTGAAATTATCACCATCTGTGTTTCGTAGTTGAGTTTCCTGTTACAATAGATAGTGGAATTTTGTAGACAACGCTTCACTGGAAAGTAGTTGAAAACACCTAAATATGGCATATGTTCGCCTAGAAGGAAATCTACTATTTCTCATGTTTTTATTTTGTGTCAGTGTTTGACCGGTGCAATGTTTACTGTATATCCTTTCGAGAGTTGTTGTGTTCTACTAAGTGACAGTTAACCTAATGTGAATAATTATTGAAAATGTGGTTGGTCCTTGTTGTATTATAAGGTTGAAAAATGACAAAAATATGGTTTTTCGGTTCACTTTTGAGCAATTTTATAATATCGAACTCTTAGAGTCGTATATTTCATGAGGGTATTCTGTCATCACATTTTTACTCAGATTGTGATCAAAGAGAGATGATTAGTAGCAGTTAAAGGAAAGGTCTTTTAGATAACACATCTTGACGTGACAAGAGATAGCAAATTATTTACGTTTCAGTCTCTCGTCAAACTACATCAATTATCAATTGAAACTAGAAATATACTACTGATTTAATCAAATAATATTTACTTGGTGGACTTAGACAATGTTTCAAAATAATTGTGAACTTACTAATCCTACAAAGTTGATCTGCAAAGTAAACGAGATTGTAATCAACCAGTGCAAGTGATCTATTCTGATGTTCACGGTCTACTCGAGCTGAAGAGGAATTGTGCGATCTAGCTTACGTAGAAGTCACAACTCGTGGTCAGTACCTAAAGCAGACTACACTTCGTGGTGTACAAGTACTATATGTACTTTGCTGACGACACAGAACAAACATCCCGCTTTTGAAGGAATGCATTTGTAACGACTATTTACGTAAACAGCGAGGCCTCATACGCACTGACGAGTCACTAATGTGCAAATGGATAATGGGTGTTAGTTATTTTCGACGTTTACGACATTCGACAGACTTTCATTGACCTGTAGTCCAACGTAGAAACTGTCCATCCTGAAGAATGGCTTGTCCAAAGCTCAGTGAAACTTCACTTGCAGTACACAATGGTTTCACTTTTGATACTACATGTGAAAGGGGTAAGGACCAATGTTACCTTTCACTTACAACTGCAGAATGAGTGTACACAAATTAAATTTGAATTTACTTTATCAATTGAAATAAGCCTTTAATTTTAAACGTTAAATTTTGAGTTTTCGAGCAAAATAACGTTTGCGTTCAAAGTTTGTTTTGTTTTACGGAGTCATTTGGTATCTGTATCACAGTAGCTTATGACGTACTTTTTTAAACAGACGTTGAGTATCGTGAATTCGTCATTCACCGATCACTGTTAAAGACAGTTTAATGAATTGAAATATTATGCCAAGAGGTGTTATGATACGTGCCATGCATCAGTTTAATGAGTTCAATGACACTTATATCGATAACAAATACGATATATCTGACGAGCAATATTTTTATGGCTCTAATAAACGCAAAAGGAAGACTGCTGCACCTCAGAAACGGGAATCAGCAGAAGAAGAATCAAGAGAAGATGTCAAAATGATATTTAAAAATTCGCCATTTGGCCCTATAAATTTGGTTACAAAAGAAAATAATGTTATTCCTTCCTCTTTAAATGGTACAGAACGCTCAAGTGAAATATTTGGTGATGGCAATATAACCACATCTCCGGAACACGTTAGACTTTATGCTGCAATGTTAAATTATTTTCTTTTGAAGTATAAAGCGTCGAATGATTTTAAAAGTGGATCGTTTCCTACGTGTCCATCATTAGCGGAAGTCAATCACGGGTTGGATAAAACATCAGGCAGTTCTCTTTCCAACAATCTGTCAAACTTATTTTATTCCACACATGTGAATAGTTCTACAAATCCTGTAACAGTTACTTCGAACAAGCAAAGCCCTTCCAATGGATCATATAATGATGAGCTCTACTACTCAAATTCTAAAGAAATTGATAAACTTTACAAGCACATTTCTACAAAATACGAAGCGTACTTAGATTGGCGGCAGAATGTTATAAATTCTATCAGTACTTGCATAACTAATATACCTGTTCCAAAATCTAATTGTCCAAATTATGAAGCCATGTCTGTTTGTTATAAATCGTTAATAGACAGAGCTTACGCTTTACAACAATCTGTGGAATTATATTTTGGAATGATCCAAAATTCTCTCTCTTATAACTCACTTCCACACCAACATTTAGATGGTGTCAGTGTAAATTCTCCAGTTCACAATCCCACTTGGAGTGGACAGACGAATAATATCACTAACTTTCCCGTTCAACCACCGTACACCTCAAGCTCATATTCTTCAGTAAATTTGTCGGCTGTTCTTACTGATATTTTTCAGTCTAATAACACCGTTGTCGGTAATCAAGAGTTGATTAATGAGTACAAGAGAGTTTCCGGTGTGGGATTTGAACAGTCTAATCAGCTTCCTGGTACTTATGTATCCGAAAGTCAAGCTCAAAGCAGTTTACAGTTACCAGTGGACTTGACAAACTCAGAAAAAAATAAAACCTCTGATCCCTTTGTTTTAACTTTGCAATCACATGTTGAAGCAAAAACACACAACTCAGATAAGTCAACTAAAGAAAACCACGACTATGCCGCAAACGAAGAACCCGATAGGTGTGATCTAGCACAAAAATCTGAACATAGTCGAATTCCAACTCTGAAGGGAGATGGGGAATATGCATTCTCAAATACTACTGAACACAACATAGTTTCTAGCGTTGAAGTTCGAAATGGTTTTGTTTCTCAAAATCTAAAGCACGCTGCCAGCAATATGCTATGTAGCTCAATTATTAATTGCTCTCCAAGATCTAATATAAATATAAGAAAAAAAGTTTATTTTAAGTCAAAGCGTGTAAAAAAATCATTTACATCAAATTCGGTGCAGAACAACAACAACATCTGTCCGGAAAACTCCTCTCCTAAGAAATCCAATTTCAGAGGGACTAGCGAGGAGGAAAATAAAGTAGCTCCCAATTTCAAACCAATTGAAGTGAATGTAAGTTGTTGTTCAGAATAACATACAGTTTGGTAGAATCAGGAAATGTTGCCTACTTCGTTCAATGACAAAGTTGGCAAGACGCTTATTCATTGTCGTTAGTTCTTTGCTTTTGTTTATAAAGTGCCATGAACAGGTCTTATATGAATATTTAAGTCTAGAATTTAACTTCAAATCTAAGTTAATCCTTTAGATCTATGCGACTTTCTTGTGTTTCACGTTTTGTCAAACCAAAGAATTAGATTAAATATAGCGGACCTTTTGGAGGAAAACCTAAACGTTTCCAAGCAAAGATAAATAAGAAAAACCAGCGTAGTTTACAGAGAAAAATGTAATTTTTTGGTAGCTTTTAGCACAACAAGCCAATGAGAAGCAAAGTGTCTTGAACACCTGTTTTGATATCAGTGTCTTTACTTGTGGTTTAGCAACTCATGTAAAAACCGCCATGAAATAAAGACGTTATAAAACAATTTGAAGAACATGAGTAATAAAATTTTGACTTCCAACTTTCAACACAATGGTGTAATGAGAATGCAACAGATACAAATCTTATGAACTTTGTCTTCGATTTATTGTAAAATCTTAGACATGTACTTTTCTAGACTGAGAAATTAAAGACAACACAATCATTAAGTGCTTTGTATGTTTTGAGAGATCTATAGTTCATATACGTTTATATTAAAAGTTATCTTCGTAAAAGTAGTCATTCATCATTAGAATTTTTAAACAATATTTTGCACTGAAGTTGAAGGCGAAACCGACAAATTAAGATCAATAAGTGTCATGATTATGTTTTTATATTGCTATACTGAGGTATTTCTAGGTAACATTTCACTTTCATTATATAATTAGGTCACACTTTATGTGTTTTTGATTCTCTTAACTAATAGGTGACGAATTAGTTACACTTTTTATGGCATATGTTGCTCTTAATAAGTGTTGTTTTTAAAAACAACTTACCTCAGAAATTGATTGAAAAGGTTTTTAACTCCACCATGCATGCGCATATTACTTGTTTATACTTTATCGTGGTGAAGTAGCTTCCAAAATTTCTACTTCATTTTGAACAACTAGTGAATGTCTCTTCAATTTTATATATATCTCGTTTATTAAAATAAAAACGGCTTTGGTGACTTGTAAACTAGCACTATATGTTGTTGATCGTTTAAGATGCGTAAACTGAAGGCAAAGCAGATACGTCATTCTATTCTGCATTTTTTCGGACATTTTCTTCAAGCTCAACGACTGATAAGATCCTATACAAACAAGGAGAATGTTTTGTCTGTTATACTTCATTTTCAGCAAGTATGCTAATTAATTTCAAAATTAATAATAGACTAGGTCACTGCAGTCTTGATCGTTTAATATGTTAAGAATTTACATGCTTTGATTCATAAATAACTTAACTATCTTATTTATTCAGTCCGTTTATCATAAAAAATACGTGTTACTTATTAAGTTTGTTATTCGTAAAGTCCAGCAAGAATGACGACTTATGTTCAATTTTTATGACGTTCTGATGGATGACATGTATTTTTCTGGACTTTATTTTTATTTTTTTGAAACTGTTGAAAAAAATATATTTAACTTACAAAATTCGCTTTTAGACGGGATAAAACTATACAAAAGCTTTCTCAGTCCTCAGTCAAGCTTAAAAACTTTTAAGTAGCAAAATGACGGTTTTTTGGCTTTCCTTCTGTTCTAAATGTATTTGGGAAACATATTAAACTCACAAGCTTTTTGCAGAATTTTCTTTCGATGTAGCACTCTAGAAGAGGCAAATAAACTAGCGTTTTTCTTTATTAAGGCATCAGTATATAGTTTTTGTTAATTTTATCATACCATATTTAAACTAGCTTTAAAGCCTTCAGTGTACCGGATTTAAACTGAGAATCCCCAGGATATCAACCGGAAAAAGGTTTTTACTAAGACAACCCTATGTTAAATAGACAAAGCGTTTTTTGAATTGAAAAGTTATGCTTTGGTAACAAATAATATTTTATTGGATTAGGTGTGTTTTAAATAAACTGTTTTATTGCAAAGCATTGTTTCCAGGAAAATCCAGTATAAATAAAATCATTCCCAATATCACTTAACATGCTAATATTAAACCGATAATTTTTTCATAACTTTTAGATATCATTATTAGAAAAACGAATTATTGTCCGTAGGAATCCTTCTACTCCGTGAAGTTTCTATTTGTTTAATTTCTCAGTTTATCAATTACAATGTATAGAAGTGACTTTTAATGCTCTTCCATCCATTCTCCTTTTAGTAATATCAAAAATAAATCAAGTTTAATAAATATGGCTTACAAAACAGTCATTTATTTAAGATAAGGGGAAAAACCGTTAAAATCTAATTTACGTACGTTAAAATGAGTGATAAATATTTATATGGATCTAAAACAATCAAGTATTTTGTTAGTGGTTGGGCTGTCAATTTAATCGATATTTAAAAAATGGATTTAAATTAAGTGATTTACTGTTCAACAGGCTTTTATAATATTAACTTATGTATGATAAGTTAATTTATTTTTTTAAATTAGGAATAGTAAAATATAGCACGGTAAATTAATAAAACGAGTAGTATATACTAGGTGAAGGAAGGTGTTCAAGTACTACTGTCAGACAGGGAACAGTACACAAGCTTCAATAAAACACCTAGGTTACGAAAACTAAACGTCGTTTTAGTCACCTGTCTTATTTGTGTTGAAATTTACTTATAATACGAGACATAAAAATGGGACACAAAGAGATTAATAATATTTTTTGGTACCAATTTTTAAATGTTCTTATTCAACTAACAAATAAAATATTGGAAATTTGAATAAAAGCCAAAAACCCAAAATGGCTCTAATATAAATGGATAAAGGAAGTCTTAACTGTTGTTTGGGAGCTTTTCAGGAACAGCAATAAATATATTTAGAGAAACGACTGACACCATGAATAACGCTCATCGAAAGCAAATGTAGTCTGCTAGTTGAAGGAACACCAGAAGTATTTGAATCTGATATATTCGGTCAATTTTGAGCCATATTATTTGATGAACTGTATTCAAACAGCCTAACTATCTTAAAGGCCTAAACCAGGTTATTTTTATTGAATTATTTGTGAAGAAGACCTACATTATATGTCCATTTAAAATTATTTGATCATCTGACCTGCATCTATTCTATCTATTCAATGAACCAACGAAGTAATTTTATCCATCTAGGTGATGTAACAGACACTGTATATTTTTCATTTCCGTTAGTTATTTCATAACCAATATCTAATACTTGTGCTACCGTTTCTGTAAGTTGTGATATTTCGGTTATTTTAATGTAAACCGTACTTGTCATAATGTGAAATAAATTAATTATTCGAAAATTTCAATTTTTTTAAATTTAGTAAACAATCATAAATAATGGGAGAATAAGACATTTTGAAAACAATTAACTCTAAGTAAATATAATATAGGAAATCAGACGTATTTATTCTATATTCTAGATAGAAATTAATCACAAAAATGCGATTACGAATACTTAGAACTCATCACCAAGCAAATTAACAACTCATTAAGTTTATTTGTATATCATTCAGAGACCATACATGTAAAAGAAGACAAGGGAAGTATTGTTGGTAAATTCTACATAACCTTTCTCAATTTTTTAAAAAAAATCTATTATTTAAGATGAATTAATATTTAGATAAAAATAAATAATATACTCGTATGGCAACATTTACTTATATCTAAAACATACTACTCAAAACTTAGGCATAAAATATTTTCAAATGACTTATTATTTGTCCTTAAAAGAAAACATATTTATATGTGAGTATATTATTATTATTAGGTTGCCAGCTTATTTTATTATAGATGTTATATTGCTTGTTTTAACTTAAACCTGCGGGTGTTAGTTAGCATTATGTACAGATTTATAAAAATCAGTTGATTGAAATGAATAAAAAAATCAAACAATTATGATTAAATTAAGTGAAAAAAATAGAAGAAAACTATCAAACAGTATTATGAGTAGAACAAAAGAAAATCTATCGTTTTTTAATAAATAGATGAGGCCAAACTGCTTCGAATATCATTTTATTATTATTACTGTTATTATTATGAGATGATTTGGCCTTAACACATTGAGGACTGAATATGTGCACTTGTAATCGTTTCTCTCAATTACTATAGTTATAATAATTTCTCAGAATTTTTCTTACTTTTTGTGTGTAAATGTTTACTTGGTTTGACTAAATAACTTATGAAGTGGTATGAAGAAATTAGAACTCGTCTAAGAATGTTAATTTCCATTTTTTTCTTATAAAAAAGAATATCATATTTACTCTATATACAGTAAACTAGTGTGAAACATGTTTTATTTTAATGAACAACTATTAGGATTAATGGTTAGCTATGCTGTAACCACCGACTGCCCCGACGTGCGATGTTTTATGGTGTAGGAGTAGGTTGTAAGAAAGCTAGGGTTGGCCAGACCAAAACATGGCGAAAATTCATGACGTCAATGACAAGTGGACTGAGCCATGTTGATAGGTGTAGACTACCTAGTTGGGGTCCGCGAGACGATAGCAACCGTTGGTTAGAGACCTTGAATGACATGGCTCAAAATCATTTGTACAGCTTTGTCGAGAAGAAAATTTTCTTTACTAAAATAACTAGAATTAAAAAGCTATTTACAAAAACTTAAAACGAAATATTTCATAAAATCAACTCATGAAGCATTAAATCTATATCAACTTTGGAAATAAATACAAATTTATATAAATGACCGAGTTAACTGAGTCAGATGTTGTATGGGGGTGATCATAGTGGATTTGTGTAAATATTGAATTATTGTAGTTTTAAAGATTTGCTTCCTTTGTCTCACCTCCCACTTTTGTCGTATCTGGATTTGTATCAGGAGTTTTTGTGGATATTATAGTAATTCTAATAGATGAGACCACGAGATAGTAACTGAATGAAGACAATGGTGAATGTGTTGCTCAGTTTTGTGT